CTTATAAATGAGGGGGCTTATATCCAGGGGGCATATAAGCGGAATAAAAAAATGTTCTGGAACAACGAGATAAAACATAGCTGAGAAACGAATTAAAGCTGACATACCATTATCTATAGAGCTATTACATTTATATAGAGGATATTACATGCCCGCGCGTGGATACGAATTTTATCTTCGAGTGCTCAACTCGATATCTCACGAGTGAGCGCAGCGAACAAGTCAGATATTGAGTTGAACACGAGAAGATAAAATTCGTATCCACAAGCGGGCATGTAATATTCTGTTTATTATATAAACAAACTAATGACGACGTTTTTCCAAAATTGTTCCAAAGGCCAGACGAACGCTTCCGAACGTTTTCCGAACATTTTCCGAAGATTACCGAAGACGACCGAAGAAGATCTGAAGATGTTTCGATCATACATCAACAAATTTAAGTGCAGTTAAAGGGAGAAAAGAAAAATGTTATCAAAAAGGAATGATATCTTCACAGTGTGTAAGATAAAAATAGTATCTTCACTGCGCGCTATGAAGATATGATTTTTCAGTAAAAGGGAAAATCCTGGTATTTCACCGGTGTTTATATAATAAACTACATTTATTGTGCGTCACAATAAAAGGAGAATGTATTTCAAAAACATCTATAAAACACTAATGCGACTGGAACAACTGGAACGGAACGGAACAGAAGGAAAGCCACAAAAACTACAACACTTAATGATATCAGTTTGTACATTAGATGGGCTTATATTGGGGGCGGGGGCTTATATCCGGAATTATAACTTTGTTAGCAAATAGAAGGGCTTATATCCGGGGGGCTTATAACCGGGGAGGGTCTTTAAAGTGGGATTTTACGGTACAACATTTGTTGTTTTGATAACAAAAAGATAAGAGGTATGACCCTTTACACATAGTGCTTATATCAACTGCTGCATAGTTGTTTGAGGCAATAGTCAATGTGTACCGTAACGTCAAAGAATAAAATTATTGTCACGTTAATTCATTTCTAAATTATAGTATTAGAAGTGGACGTTTCTGGAGATGATAAATGCTACGTAAAATTTTATCTTTAGTATACAACATATTTCTGTTAGAAGTTTACCCACATAACGTTTTCCTTGGACGCCAGTATAGAGTTAACCAAGGCTTTTCTTCAGAAATTAATAAAGCAATAGCGGTACTCACTGTGTCGAAAAGTAATTGGTTTTGCATTACAACGCTACACGATTGGCTGAGAAAATTCGCACTACATTTTCATCCAATCAGAAGTAAAATCAAAACCAATCGCAACTATCTCGCACGTTTTCCCGCGCTTCGCGTCAGCTACATGTATTGACTACGAGTTTTGATTGGTTCAGTGGATTGTCTGTGTCCTTTGTGATTGGCCAGAGTGATTACTTGGGTTTTACGACACTCAGTTTGAAATAGGCTCCGTTTCCAGCCGTGGGCGTTTCGGTGCGCCCGTGATCCACCGAAACATCCATGGCTGGAAACTAAATAGGCCAATTCCGATATATTAAAATTCTAACTTGGCTCCGAGGCTTAGGGGAATAAAACAAAAGGAATTAATTATTCATCCCTCATCCTCGATGCGATTTCTTTTGTTTTATTCGCCTAGACCTCGGAGCCAAGTTAGAATTTTAATACATCGGAATTGGCCTGTTGAAAACCGCTCTTAAAGAATTTTTATTACAAGAATAAAAATTTTTTCTCCCACTTAGAGGAGTAAAATTTGCGTAGTCCTGACCAAACAGATTACATGTTCACGGATGCTTGAGTAAGAACGCAAAACCACGTCATCAATATCAAGCACTGAAAATAATCCAAGAGTGACTTACGAATGACTCTGGCTTTATTATGATTACTAAACAAGATAGAATCTATGTTCTGTTGATTGGTTGCAGACGACAAATTGTTGTACGATCTTCAACCAAAACGAATCACTGTTTGACTTCCAGAACCAACCGAGCACTAACGTGATTGCTCTCTCTCTGACGGAGCAGAAATTGGTGCTGTAGAATGGCTACATTTCAGATAAAACGACCCGAAAAGGAAAAAAACGATATACATGTACTCCACATTTACGTTAAATGATACTTCTTTTTTCGCTATCACTGAATTTAAACTGACTTTTATTGATGGAATTCTACTTGCACCCTAATGTAAACGTTGCAAACTGATCTGCTGAGCAATCGTAAACTATCCAGTTCACAATCTAATCGTTAAACATCAAGCATTTTTTATCCAATTAGTATAGGCAATCATACGGTTTCAAGTTCAGTTTGGAATTAATTTGCACGAGTGAGTTTTTCAAAAAGCTGAAATTGCACGAGCCGCTTCGGCGAGTGTAATTTCAGCTTTTTGAAAAACTCTCAAGTGCAAATTAACGCCAAATTGAACGAGAAAAACCGTATGATTACTTATTAATAATATAAACGTGAAAAAATTCGCACGGAGGAAGTGCCGGAAGATCTTTCTTGAAGCCATTTTTTCTCATCTGAGAAAACTTTTTTTCGAAGTTTCAGCACAAAATCTTCGTCATCATTTTACGTGATATCATTTTCTTAGAAAAGTTCCTATTGTCTTTCAGTCAATCATAATCCAGAATTTCGATGTGTAATTTGCACTGGTGTTACACTTTTTGCACTGGTGTTACACTTGAACTGCACTGCTCTTGGCCAATCAGAATCGAGTAATTTTTTCTTGTGTATTATTAATTAAAAAAATAGCGAACAATAACTGTAACCAACATGTGGGTTGACGAGCAGACATCATAAGAACTGTCAGCTCCTGTCCCGGTATTGAGCTTGGTAAGTTTCGTTAATGAGTGGAATTTCAAGATTTCGAAGCATTTCCACTGATCCTTCTGTTGCTATGTAACCCATTAATTTCATGACGTCACGACAATATCGCTCAACCACGTGAACATAACAGAAATCACCTGCGAGTCGCCACTTATTCAGAACTTCTAAAGAGTTTCTGATCACAGACACTGCTCTTCGTCCTTCCGCCTTTAAATCTTTCAAGCTAGGCTGAGTTATCTTTACCACCCAATTTGTGATGTTCTCCAGTACCTCGAGTCCAGCAAATTCGTACAAATAGTCTAAAACCTTCAGTGGTTCAACGGCTAAGTCTTCAAACCGCACCAGTGTTACACGACTACGAAGAGATGAACGAAACTCCTTCATCAGGTTAAGATTCCTCTCAGTCATTTCACAACGAGAATAAACAAACTGCCTCATCGATGACCTTATGTTGCTGTCCACTTCCTTGAAAAAGCGCACTTTCTGAGAAGACATTACAAGTGGTCTAATATCACGTACCAAATGAATAACTTTGCATTCAACTCCTGCTATCTCACACACTTCAAAAAGTTTCCCAATCGATTGACCGGGAATTCTTTCCATAAGAAGCTTATAAACAGTTGTATCATGTTCTCTGCATGCACGTTCGAGGTCTTGTCGTTGAACAGTCCCACAATGTTCCTGTTTCCATCTAAGGTCTTCTTGTTTATATTTGCAAAATGGTGGCGAGCTCAACACTCGGCTTTTAAAACGATAAAAACGACCGATATCCCGCGTTGAATTTCCCACACTAAAGTCACACTGGACAACATGATACAGAAATTTCATCGCAAACTCGTCATAATCCGGTCTATCCCTGTTGTGTTTTTGAAAATCGTGGAGTGGTTCAAAGACATAAAACACTCGTGGATGTTTATTGAAAATGTCTGCAAGAAATGTTGAACCGGATCTGCCATGAGCAACAATTAACAAAACATGTCGCTTTCTTGACTGAGGCGGCATCGACGTCTTCGTTGAAGCATTGTAGGAATCTCTGTCCCTCGCTACAAGAGCCTGAGTTGTTGTCAGATGGCTGAATAGGTGACGGTTTTTGACGATATCTCGGCGCGGCGATATTTCGAGAAGGGCAAATAGCAAACCAACTGAAGCAAGAGAGAAGATTAACAGCAGGTTGAAGCTACGCTTAAGATTTTCCCAACCAGCCATTCTTGCTCACTACTTATGCACCTCTCTCAAATTCATTTCCACAGCCATTCCTACAAAAAAGTATGTAAAAAAGATATAATATTCTCAAAATATGTATACGCTATTTTCGCCAGCGCACGAAATCATGAAGGCTGGTTTCTACATCATTATGATCGCTAAGATGGCTGTAAAAAAAGTTCAGTGCTCGTTACATTACGATAATATCGAAACCGCTGTCTAACGATCCTAGCCATCGCAACGACATACTCAAAAGCAGTGAGATGTCAGTAAGTAGCGCCTCTCTTACTGCCCCTGCGTATATTACTGATCGTTGCTTAAGCTTACACTGTGGCCCAGTCCACACTACGCCGGAGGAATTTGAAAACGGAGATTTCACTCGGTAAACGCATCAGATGTTATCCGTCCACACTAGTACTACACCGGAGGAATTTAAAAACGCAACATTCACCGGTCATTTTGGATTTGTGTTTGTGGAAAACTCGGTCTGGGAAGTCACATGATTATTGTGACGCCATCGTTTTCGAAAAGCTCCGTTTTCAAAATGTCTTCCGTCCACGCGAAAACGAAAAGCCGGGGTTTTCAAATTGATGAGCGCTTTCGAAAGGCCCCGTTTTGGTGGCGGATTCGTGTGGACGGTAGACCTAACGGTAGAAATAAAGCTGCGTTTTCAAATTTCTCCGGCGTAGTGAAGACGGACCTTATGCGCAAGCGAACACCAACCTTATCTCGCTAGCTATTCACGTTAAATTTGCATTGACCGGCCATGCCAGTTGTGATTACCCTTCTTTGCCAAGAAACCAGCGAGCGGAGCTAAATTTAATTTCCCTGATCTTGTGAAAATCATACAACTTGAAAAGGCAAAACATCTCGCCGTAGAAAACATCTTACTTTAGTTTATGGATAAGAAGGCTCCCACCGTAACGAATGCCGCACTATCTGCTTCTTAAATCATTTCTCAGCAAAAAGTGTGATAACACACCATCGCACGATATTCTGTACTAACTGAAGTTGACTTTCGTTAGGGTCAAAGCCGAAAAAAAACAAACAATCTCTTCTCATCGCAGCTGAAAAGAAAAAGCCATTTATAGAATCCGGTATTTTGAAATACCGCACAGCAGCTGCTTAATTTCAGCTTAGAGCCTCGTCATGAATACATTCATTACCCAACTTGTTTCAGGGACAACTGATATCTTCTAGAGAATTAAAACTCCAAATTTTTAACATCAATACCGCTGTAGAAACTTAACGGATCCACTGGGCAATGATGGAACTATATAAGATCTGTGTTAATGACAGATCCTTTGTTTTATGAAAGCAAAAACTGCGGAAAATCCAATTTTTGACGGACATTTTACGTCAAACGAGAAGCGAACGAGACAAAAAAAAATTATCATAATTTTTTTTAGTAAATCATAACCGTTTGTCAGAGTCATAACAGAATTTCAAGAATCCTTTACAGTTGTTGGCTTCTAAGAGAGTCGACTTGTGAAAATCAGGCTTTGAAACGTCCTTGAATTTTTTAAAGGCTGCTTCAGTTGAAATTCTGTCATTACACAAAATCACGCTGCTTTAATTTTACCATCCTGTGGAGCATCAATATTCCAGAAATTCCATGTCAAAGACTAATTCTTTGCCGCTTTCGACTGAAGAACATGATTCACTCAAAACTGTGCATCTACTCATGATAACGTAGGAAATTCAAATCCACCTGCTACAAAACTGAAAGTGAGAACACTGATTCTTTGTTTTTCATCGAAAACTGTATTATTTTTTCTGAGTTAAACATTAAGAACTTAAAGAAGCCTGATGGAGGACAGATTTTAATTATAAACCGTGCATGGAAATGAAAAACCCTCACATTTTTGTGTTCACGAGACATATTTTGGTCTGATTTTCCAGCAGCTCTGAAAATAGTCAACTATCAAGTCTCCAAAGCACGACTGCAAAGAATTGGTCATGAAGAAACGCGGCCGAAGAATCGCCACGTTGTTAGCCCTTTCAAATTGACGGAATACGTAGCCAAGTAGAAGTATTCTGAACTAAAAGGGCAGATGAGAATTGCGATTGATAAACATTGATATCAGGAGTCCGTGTCGACGTCTATGCTTCTCAGTTAAATGAGTGCTGTGGCCACGTGACCACACTTTCACCAGGTACCATTCGTCTTTCTCGTACCGTTCAAAAATAGATCGCGCTGACAAGTTAATCTAATGTTCAAAGCTCGATTAAGCTAACCTAGGGTTAGCGAGAATTTTAATTTCAGTTTTGTGACGTTTCGGTGAGGTTTTCTGTTTATATTGTTTGTCCTTCAGTTTTGAGCTTGAGCAATCTCTAACTACACGAAACATTAGCAGTAAGAACCATCGCTATAAAGAAAAATGAATTCTTCGGTTAACTTTAAATCCTGGGATAGCGTTAACTGGCTTTCGAACCACCCAGTCCTGAACTTTTGAGGAAGAAATGTATCCTTTATATATCACCAAGGTGATGTATAACAAAGATCGACTTTCACAAAAGCAATCAATTTCTACTCAAGCAGCGGACAGACGATTTTAATTTACATGTTGGCGTACTTAATCTTTTTTTTTTTTTTTGGGCTCCAGCTACAACTTGCTGAAATCCTCCTATCGACATAAAGTATTAATAAATGAAGAAGCCTTCTCAAGTCGAATTACTCAGAAAATAAATTTTCTGATATCCCCAACGGGAGTCGAACCCATGACCTTCCACAATACCGGTTGGACGCTCTAACCATAAAGTGTTAAAGTAAAAAATCCCCGAACCTTCTTTAAATATAGTAAACCAAATGTTCATCGATATTTTAAAATAAAAAGTATCATTTGTCGATGATCTTCAAACTCTAAATTGATGTCATCTGCTATTTGCTTGTTTTCATGACAGTGTTTTCCTTGAAGCTTCAATAGCATGAATTTACCGATTTTAGCCATTAAAACAGTGAATCGCATCAAAATATACCATTTTTACTCCCTTGGATTGAAATGGCGTGATCAGGAATTTTAAAGCTTGCTGAAACATTGACCAATTTTCAAAAGACGTTTCAATTTTTGTTGGATAAGTTTTTTGTTCGGCTCAACTAGGACAGTGTTTGAGACAGTGCAGATGGTTGAGAAGGCATGATAAATTAGCTTTGTATGCAAGGGACAAGAAAAATCAATTCTTACTCACATATTTCGTAGAAATGAATCCACGATCGCTAAGTTTGTAAATAAAAGGTTTACTACAGTAAGGCGGCGTGAAATATTTCTTGCGTCTATCGTGGCCGAAACATTGCTGGGTATCTGTTTGTTTATCCAGAAATAAAAGCCTGACAGCATCTCAGTTTGTTTTCATTGGTTGGTTCAATGTAACCGTCGTGCAGTGAATCGCTTATGCATGCATGTCATTTCACCAATCAAATCAATGCACATATCGGGCACAAAGGCTTCTTCCCGCGGCGAAAAAGATCTCTGAAAGTCGAGAATATATAGTTGAAGAAATAATTGGAGAAATGTTGGCTCCCTGGCTGAACAAAGAATTGAATCTTTAGATCATCAACATGGAATAAATTTTTAATTTTAAAAGTTTTACAGACCCTGAACGATAAATGTACGGAGCATGATTTACGCCAGTCTAACTTAAATGTGACACGTTTGACTTTCTTCAGATTTTTCTGCTTTCATTTTACCGCGCAAATATTCATGGCGAGTTTTGCCCGAGTACAGATCGGCGCACACCGAGGAATTCATTAACCCCTGACGCAAAATGCACCTGAAAGCTTGTTTTCCGAATTCGTCTTAAATATTCCAGGCTTATATAACACGTTTTGAGCGCGCCTTGAATACTCCTAGGCCAGGTTGTTCAAAGCCCGATTAAGCTAACCCAAGATTAGCAAGATAATTGATTTTAGTTTTGTAACTTTTCGGTGAGGTTTTCTGTTTATATTGTTTGACCTTCAGCTTGAAATTTGGATAATCTCAATTTACACTAAACATAAGCAGTGAAAACCATTTTATACAAAAAATAATAATACTTTGGTTAACTTTTAATCCTGAGTCAGTGTTAACCGGGTTTCGAATAACCCGGCCTAGGATTCTATGACTTCAGGTTACATATTTGAGTCTAGAATAGCACAGAATATTTTTTAAAAAACGAATAGGTTATTCGTGCTTGGCGCAGCGCACCCAGTTTATTTCTTGTTTATAATGGCGAAGAATTAATATAACGGCCAACACATCGAGAATTCCTATCAATTTTCATCTGGAGTTGACTGCGAAGCTCGTGAACGATGCCAAGCGCCTTGGTCTATCACAGAATGAACTGCCGGGTTAGTCGATATTTCATTGTTTTTTCGCAGCCGTCCGACTCTCGCCAAAGCAATATTATCGGATCCACATTCATACCGACCGAGCCTTCGGTCTTGAAAAGATGCTAGTAAAAATTGTCCGGATTTGAGGAAATCGCTTAAATATTTACGAGGACTTCACGAGGTCAACCGAAGAATCACGACACTAAACTGAGTGGTTTTTGATCAAGATTTGTAAAAATTAATGACAACATACCAGTAGCAAACAAACTCACTTGATGTACGCTTATTGGGTGGGCAAGGTTAACTTCGCTTCGCCATTCCACTGGTAATGTCATAAAATGATTGACTCGTGCTTTTAGCTGAGCATCATCGAGTTTTGATTGCGGGTAAGTTTGGAGAGAACTCAAGACAAGCGCGTCAAGCCGGCAAATCCCTTACACTTTATTTGTACTCTCCAAACTTGCCGTGTGCGTGATAGCTAGATGATGCACACTGAAGCATGAATCAGCTTTACACTAACTGCTAAGAAATGGCTAAAATTTCATCTGATAACTGAGAAATAACCCAAATTATAATACCCTCTAAACGAGAATTCGCGAAGTCGGCTTAGTTGAATTACCTGTCTTGCAAGAAATACTGTATATTTGCATTCAAGCTGTTGTTGTATCAACTGTAAAACATTTGTTATTTCCTCTGCTATTGCAATAAAGCTGGCGACCATAAACTTCTTTGCCGTCGCTTCAGACTACTGACCGACCGAACACGGTAAAATTTTAATAGCTCGCTTTAATTCCATACTGCCTTTGTAATTTCACTTGTTTGCTGTTTTGTTCGGCTTTTTCTATTATGACGAATATGATACATGTGTCTTGTTTTAAAGGAAATCCCTGTGTCACTGAGCGCAATCCATCTACTTTAACGTTTGGGCACCCGGGCTATCAACCGAAACATAGTTAAATAAGCACGGTCAGTAACAGAGGAGCAATTAGCATAAAATATCACGAAGCTAAAAGAACAGCAAAAATATTAGCAAGTCCAGTGAAACACCTGTGTCTACATGAATCGTGGTCAGTAATCAGTAAAAACGAGCAAAACATCACAGATTTTAAGTATTTATGACAAAACTATCTAATGAGAAATGTAGAAGCAACTTGCAACCCATGAAGAAAATCTATAATTGTACCTCAATCATGGCGATCAAACACGAACTTAGCGATTTGTTGATCATCGGCGACTTAATTAATTTCGCTTTTTTAAAGATAACTTTGTTCTGTGTACAAGTGTTGTTATGTTCACCTGTCTGATTCCTGGGATGATTTGAAGTCAATGTGTACACTACTTGATCTTATCCGCTGTACTTAACAGAGCGTCAGCGTGCAGTAAAATCTTACTCATGATGATTTTAATTTCAAGTGTTAATTTACCAAGCAGAGAACCCGTCAGGCGTAAAAACAATGAGTCACTTAGTGCCTAACAAAAACCAAACGTGTGGGGAAAAAATAGACAGCTAAATTTAATTTTTTCTTTTTAGTTTTTTATTGGGTTTTGAATCTTTCTCGCCATTAGCCATTTACTTCTTTTTTGTGGTAATTAATTCTATCAAACTTTTCTCGACAACTTTGTGGAGTACTGAGGAAACTACTGCGGGTGACTTTGTGTTCGTTTCTTTTTAACTAAAAGGTGATCATTTCAACTACCCTCGTTAATTTGCAAAAATCTGGGTCGTAAAATACAAAGCGGGTAACCAACCGCACGCAAGGTTTGTCTATCATTTATTTGTTCACCTACTCTGAGCTTGGTATATTTCAGTAAATAGCGGAATTTTAAGATTTCGAAGCATTTCCACTGATCCTTCTGTTGATATGTAACCCATTAATTTCATGACGTCACGGCAATATCGCTCAATCACGTGAACATAACAGGGATCCGCTACAAGACGCCACTTATTCAGAACTTCTAAAGAGTTCCTAATCACAGACACTGCTCTTCGTCCTTCCGCCTTTAAATCTTTCAAGCTAGGCTGAGTTATCTTTACCACCCAATTTGTGATGTTCTCCAGTACCTCGAGTCCAGCAAATTCGTAAAAATAGTCTAAAACCCTCAGTGGTTCAACGGCTAAGTCTTCAAACCGCACCAGTGTTACACGACTACGAAGAAATGAACGAAACTCCTTCATCAGGTTAAGATTCCTCTCAGTCATTTCACAACGAGAATAAACAAACCGCTTCATCGATGGCTTCTCTCGCGAGTCAATTTCCTTGAAAAAGGCCACTTTCTGAGAAGACATTACAAGTGGTCTAATATCACGTATCAAATGAATAACTTTGCATTCAATTCCCGCTACTTCACACACTTCAAAAAGCTTTTCAATCGACTGACCGGGAATTCTTTCCAAGAGTAGCTTATAAACAGTTGTATCATGTCCTCTGCATGACTGTTCGAGGTCTTTTTGCTTCACAGGGAGGCAATAATACCAATTCCAGCTAGGGTCGTCTTGTTTGTATTTGCAAAATGGTGGCGAGCTCAACACTCGGCTTTTAAAGCGATAAAAACGACCGATATCCCTCGTTGAATTTCCCACACTAAAGTCACACTGGAAAATATGAACGAGAAAATTCCTCGCAAACTCGTCATAATCCGATCTATCCCTATTGTGTTTTTGAAAATCGTGGAGTGGTTCAAAGACGTAAAACACTCGTGGATGTTTATTGAAAATGTCTGCAAGAAATGTTGAACCAGATCTGCCATGAGCAACAATTAACAAAACATGTCGCTTTCTTGACTGAGGCGGCATCAACGTCGTTGTTGAATCATCGTAGTAAATGTTATCCCCCTGTAGATGTGGCCCAGTTGGATCTGCGACTGAAAGCAATTTCTGAGTTACGCGGTGTAAGTCGCGACTATCGGTAATGTCTAGAGACGATTTTTCGCGAAATGCAAAAAACAAACCAACAGAAACAAGAAAGAAGGATAACAGCATACCACACTTAAGATTTTGACGTCGAACCATTGTCGTTTTCACGTTTTAGTGCACCCTTGCTGGGAATATTGAGTATATTTAGCCTACAAACTGACATAAAAAAGCTAGATTAGCGTCATCAAAATGATTGTATATAACTATATGGATACATATATTTAAATTGAAAAGTCAGTCATGTTTATATGCGTGTAACGGCCTGATTAAAACTGTACTCACTAGGTAGATATGTCCACATCCAAGCACGAAACGCGCTAAATTTGCATTTATGGGTTTGAACCCATGAAATGCAAAACCCATTTAAACCCATTTAATTTATATTTTACCAAAGAAATTAACAGGTCTTAATGGGAAACTAAAATACTACCGTACCTGAAACTTAATTATCAGAGCTTTCATGGCACGCAGTGTTGTGGATTCCACTTTGTAAGTAGAATGCGGAATATTAAATGTCTCAGGAATAAAATCGCGCTCTGTTTCATTCAATTTGGAATACATGCACTTGTGGAAGATAATTGTTGCCTGACAACTGCAGATGTTAAGTGTGAGAAGAGAAAATATTGAAGTAATGAGGGTAAAATATGTAATAAATTCCGCTTTTCAATTGGCAAAACCTGTACTCATGTATATGTTATTAATTTTCATGACCGGACGCGTTTAATTCCGTTTTTAACCAGTCGACTGACGAGTTCCTTAAATATCCATTATTGTCAAACTTTCGGACACTGTTACCCACAGCGGAAGGCCGAGCGAAATTTGAAAATAAGAGAAGAATAATGGTTTAAACCAGGAAACGTTTATCCTTACTCCTACATCACGTTATTTAGTGACATCGGAGCAATGTTTGCCGTCGCTACAGCGCTACAGACATTTGCGTTCAAAGTAGAGAGACGACTCACTCGAAGTAATGGTGGTAATAACTTTTTTATTTAAATGCGCTTTGAATGTTTTGTCAAATGGATTATAGTATTTAAATTGCAAACGATGATAATTAGTACCAGGTGGTCTTAACCTATTACTCAATTCCAAACTTCGACATCCCCCAGGCAGCCCCAAGGCATTTAATACTTTAAACTGATATTCAGTTTTCCATCCCCGGGCCAAAAACGCTGTTCAGTTCCCCAGCTTGGGGTAATACTTGGCCATCAAATATCTCCTTGAAAATTAATTATCCAGTAACGTTTCTAAATCTTGCTCCGAAACACCGGAGAAACGAGAAAAGGTCGCCATTATGTAGACAACCTTCAGCAGCTCCACACTAATGGCTGATAGTGTACGATAGCTCAGCCAATTAGATTGTAGCATTTGCACTGGTGTACCACAGCCGTAGTAGAATTCTACTAAGCTAATTTAGCTATTGGCAAGGGATGCTATTTCATCTTCATTTGCATCTTCCAACTCGAATTAGCGGATTTATTTACTACTCTCAACAAAGGCATTGTTCGTTAAAATCGTATTTTTATTGCCCGGACTATGTGAAAAATCGATATATTTAGCACATGACATGGATAGAATTGTTTTTAAAGCGCAGACGGATTAACTAATTATTTTCTTGTGTGTAAACAAATGTTACCATGAAATTCAAGATAATTCATCAACTAGCAATATTTCAGCCGAAAACAATTATATAGAGCTCGCCACTTCCACGTCAAACAATAAATTTTATCAACAGCAAAAAGAAATTGGATTTCACTTACTCCACATTTTTCACGCTATTTTAGTAAAATAAAAATAACGTGAAGAATCTGATTCCCGTTGATGGTTTTGAAAAAAAAGCAAGAATTTTCGTTGTGTGAATAATCTCAAAACATCGCAATTTTTGTGCACAAAAGAAAAACTAGATTTGCATGCGTGCTATTTTCAAATTTAATTGAAGCAATATTGATGGGGGTCCGATAATAGCTAATATGTAAGTGATTTCAATATCTGCTTCTTGGGGGGGATTCTGCTCTCTTATAGTAACCATTTGGAATACTTTAAGTTGTAATTTATTATTTTCAACAAATAGTTTCTCCCTCTTAACTGATTTCGAAGGTTTTCATCGTTGTGAGCGATCAGATTGCCATGCTGATATGAGTCATGGTTTCGCCTTGAGGCCGCGATTTACCTTACAACAGTCAACGTTTGTATGCGAACAACCTTTAAGTGTAAAATTCATTACCGAGTTTCTTACCAAGAGGTACCGCCTTTAGTGCTGATGGTCCCGACATTCGGCCTGAAGAGGGTTGTAGACAAGGGTAATTCTCATAACAGTCACCGAACACAAAATGTAGGGATAGTTTCACCATTGATTTTAATAAATCGACCGACAGAGGGGAAGAAACTCGGCAACTGATTTAAACAAAGGCTGCGCTGTGAGATATCTTGTTGTTTACCTTGTACTGATTTTGCTCCTGTGATGTAATCTCTGTCCAGTGGCCTCAGTGCTCAGTTGAAGTGAAGAGCTGACCTAGCTATGCGTTGTCGTGAATTGTCAATACTGGAAAAAGCGCATCCACCGATTACTTCTACCTCAATTTATTTTGAATGTCATCTACTTACATGAATGGGTTGAACTCTTGTGAACTCGATGGGAGAAGAGATTCAGTATCGTACGTCTGTCGATCTCAGTCAAGCTTTTTTCAGTCAATGTATGTATGTAAGGCTTCCCGCAGAACAGCACTTGGTTTACTGACTAGTCACGTGAAGTGTGATCTGGTTGTCAACATTGTAACTATCGCCTAAAACGTCACATAAACAATATCTCAAAGGGCAATTATCCGTCGCACGCCGGCCAGTATGAACTGAGATGAATAAACAATAAATAGCAATAAAACCATTTGTCGGAAGTCATGCGGGATGCAATATCGAAGTGAAGTAACTAAATAGATTACGGTATATTTATCGGCTTATAAGTATATGTGGCCCACGGCAGTAATACAAAATAAATTTCTTCGGTACATCATCTATTCGAATAGGAAAGGCAAGCTGATGTATTCGGCAAAATGACACGCGATAGAACTCCTGAGTGCTGGGTAATGAATGACTGATCATGAGAAGGAAATACAATGGGCAAAACTATCACGGCTGGCACATCTGACATTGTCACTGAAACCTTTCTGTGTCCCAGTCTATATCTGTGTTAATGGGCGAATGACGTAAGTAGCACTGCCATGACGTGACCGAATGATAAGCCACTCTCTCATTGTAATGGCAGAACTTAGCATTTTAAAATTAAAATTAAAATTGAATCAAACTGATCGCCCAAAGCAAAGAAATTGTCCTAAATAGAGAGAATATACAGAACTCAGGAATCACTTCTATCAAAACACCTACATGAAACGAATAATGTGCTGATAAATACTGGCCTAAACAACAACTACTGCAGCCCATAAAACTTCCAGTATTGTTCCTAGTGTTACTCCTCGAGTTCTCAAAGAGCCTTGGTCAGAGATCTATCGCTTTGCAACTACTGCATGTACGTCTACCGAACATAAAACTTACAACTTTTTTACCGTGACTGTTTGGGGAGACGATTAGATTTACATTAAAAATATCCAATAGTGGTCAAGATATCAGTAAAATATAACGGAATAATGGACCAATAGCATAAAAGAACCCGCTGAGCACAGTCAACAGAGAAGATGGCACACTACCGTATGGTGGCAACTAAGCTTTTAAACGTTTATCTTAACAGACTGGAAATATAAAGACATTAATCGAGTCGGAACTTTCATCTTCGGGGTCAACCGCATTTTGAACGAGTAATTCAATAATTAGGAGTCACGAAGCACGGCTTTAGAACTTTCCCGCTTCGCATTAAACGCTTTAGACTGTTCAGGGAACCAACAAACAATTTCCTTTTAATCATGATTTGTCATGAGACACTATCTTGAATTCTTTCTCTTTGGTCCGTTAGATCGCTCCATCATTTTCTTTCGCGAGTTTGGGGGATTTTCGCTTCTCACAAAATTCTCTGAGACCAGTAATCTTTCAGCATCAACACAACTGTTACTGAACAGGGCCTGTCAACTAACCTTGTTCAAGGCCTTGCGTGAGTGCTCACTGCGGTCTATTTGTCATTGTACAAAGACCACAAAGTAATCCTCGCATCTTTTCCACCAGCAGCTAACAGCTGTCCATGGCTTGACAAGTTTTCTGAAAAATCCACCGCGTTGACAGTATCTGCATGATAACTGAGGTACACCAGGGGTGTGAGTTTTCTCCAGTTGTATATTCTCAACCTGAAAATAGCAAACATCAAAAACGCTTTATAAGTTTATAGTACGTCTTTGAAGCTCTTCTTTAATGCGACCACAAAGTTGGCTTAATTCCGAATCAAATGCTATCTACCGCTGACAAAACTGGACAGCAGGCCCCCAAAGATGGAAACCTCTTAACAACAAAGCAAAGAATTTGAATGATCGGGGCAGTAAGGCAGGAGCAGGGCATTCGAATTTTTGTCACCCTTGTAATAATTGCGACAGGGCTGGCAAATGTAACGCTACAGGTTATCCTACCTCCATCACCCCATTACTCCCATCCCCCACCCCGCCCCATATGCTTGAGGAGTCCCCTGAACTAGTTGAAAAGTCATTGAAACCTACACCTTACCTCCCATCCCATCCACCAGTAGCTAATATTCTACAATCTTTTCGAATCTTGACTGAGGCAACGCCAGGGTTCTTAAGCTCAATCTGCCTGTCCACTGACAAGGTGTACTATAATGGAGAATGAAGGCAAACAGTCCCAAGATAAGTATACAAACTTTTCTGCCTAATTATCATATGTTTCTTTTCGTTTTTTTTTTTTTCCTTTTCATTTACATTTTCACTACATTAGGGAAAGTTGCAATTTTTAACTCAAAGTATCTATTAGTGGTAGGGAGGGACAATGTTTCCTTCATTTTTTTGAGAGGAAAAATTGTAGGTTGATTGCATGTATTTCAGCTGACTCATCCTTGACTTCAAACTCGTTTACACATACTTTGTAACAGTTTTTCCTGTTTTAAAAAACTGGATCATTGGATACTGGAATTCAAGAGTTTTGACTGGCTTAGCTATCATGATATATCAAAAGCTTATGTTGGTTCTATGTTCTTATCAAGTCACAGAGGCACAGGTGTTTTCTTACAGAGTTTGAGGGTGTTTTCTTACAGAGTGTTTTCTAAGTAATACATTGTTTTACATGACTAAGTAAGGTTCTTGGTATAAACATACTTCAGGAGTTATTGATGACACACATAATTTGTTGTCTGCCGAGCCTGAGACTATTTGTAGTTTCTCTTTGTCTACATCCATACAGAGAACTGAAATGACCAGAAGCAAAACAAAAATAAGATAAAGGTGGAACAACATTCAGTGCAGGGTTAGATTATTAGTTACGAATCAACAGGAAAAACCTGATTCAGAGTGAGCAGGACTTCTAGTCAAGACTTTTGCCGCCATAATATCCCACAACACAAGCTGGCCATTTTCATAGCCTGTGATCAACAGAGGCTTGTCTGTTGTTGGACTGGTGATCATGGATAAACACATGCACATTCCTGACAAAAGAGAAAAAAATGTTATAATAATAATGATATAGGAAACGTTGAAAAGTGTAGAAGAGGCTCTGTTTTGTGTTTTACATCAGTTCAATACCAAATCTCCAAGATTGTCTGGGAGTCTCCCTGATACAGAAAAGAATCTCCCAGTCTCCCGTATGGGTCACCAAATTTCCCAAGTATGAAAGAAAGTGCTCAAAGTACATTTTTCACACTTCTTTTGGCCTATAATTTTTGGCATTTCTTGGAAAGAAATTAGGAACATTTGATACATTTTTGTGGTTTAATGAATTAAGCTCTACTTTTAAGAACATTTTTAGGGTCTAGAAGGTAAAATTGACTTTCTCCTGAATTTAAAATTTCTAGGTAGGTATCTCTGGTTTTACTTCGAAATGACAAGCAGTGAATAACATAGAAGTCACTACCATAAAATCAGTTGTAAAATAAAAATAACAAAGGGTATATCAAGAGCTATAAAGCAAAATCTATTCACGAAAAAACATTGCAGGACATGGAGCTTAGTTATACATATTGACTGTTAGTCTGACCAATTACTTAACAGTGCAAATTTGCTACGAGTGATCATTAGATCATAAACTGTCAATTTTGTTTATGACGTAGGTATCTGTACTTACCCAGTGACTTTTCATTTTCAGGTTTCAGAGAAAACAGAATTTCTTTAGAGTCTAAATCAAGAATATTAACCTGAAAATTAAGATCCAAGATCTTTAATGGCAGCAATTAAAAGGTATTGTAAAAATTAAGAGAGTCATAAGTCACAACATCCAGCAGAAATCTTATATCTGTTCCTCTAAATGAAACTAAAGCCTTATTTTCTAGATATTCCCAAAGAGCTAGCATCACAAATGCACGACAAGAATCTCCCAGAGTTCACAGATTCCACAACCAGACAAAGCGCATTCTTCTATGAACTGTTAAACTCTGGAACTCATTAGAATCACCGCTTAAGTTGACAGTCCTTCACTAAAGGAGTTCAAACATTCTAAGAAAACATTAATCTCCAAATTTCTATCTAGAGTTTTAAACACACTGATCTATTTCATAAATGTAAATGGATGAATTAAGTATGTATCTATGTATCTATGTATCACTGACTAAGTTACCGAGTCTTTTAAAATAATTTCTTTGTTGATTATTGTTTTGGATGAATGTTATTGTATTTCCCTTATTACTTGAGTTATATTATGACTCCATTACTTTTTCATGCATGTAACCAAGTCCATGATTGTTCTTTCCAGCCCAATATTTATGGGGGTAAGACTTTCTTTGTCCAGAGGCATCCATATCAACATTGAAGAAGGTAAAGGAGTCATCAGAACAACTGTTACAAGGATTACTATTGTGGCATCAGGTATTGATTCATCACCTGGGATTGATTAGAAGCAAGTAGAGCAATCCAGTGTGACTCATATCCTATTGAAAATAAAATACTTTTAATGTTGACATATCACCTGGCCTAGAAATAAATCTGGAAAACAAAACTCAGTCACTGTCAAACTTTTTTCTTCCAGATATATTATATGGTATTTAACCAATTAATATACTGTTCATATTATTTTTTTTTAGGTACAATGAAATACATAATTTATAAGGCATCATCTGTTGTTAAGTCAAGGAGAAAGTTCTAAAATTAAAGTTGAAGTCATCATTGAATTAATTTCAGATACCTCTTGGCAAAATACAAAACTGACAAAATCCAAGGAAAGGTGCCGTTATACTGTTCACCACTTCAGCTCTTCCTTCAGAACACTGCCATGTTCTTACATACCCATCACGGCCATGGCTATAACAATAATATATCATGCCAATTAAGAAAGAAACAGGGCCCTCCTAAAAATCAAAATTGATGGATGTGGATCCCTCCATAAAAATAATTATACACAGTGATTACTTTGGTTGTGTATGCGTGTGTGTGCGTCTGTTTGTTTTTGTTTTTGTTTTTGTCTTTTTTGTTTTTTGACACTCGGGTGAAAGCCACTCTAACTGAGGTTGTTATCATGTTATCAGACCCCCACCTAGTTGTGAGATAGGTCCAGGAGGGAATGGAATTAAACTGACTTTTACAAAACGCTTTATTATGCAGTGTACCTGATAACTCTTCCACAAGGATGAAAGTCTGCAGCAAGGATCCCTTGTCCATCATGACCATCCAAAGTCATCTCTGTTCTTTTAGTCTTAAGATTCCACAGGTTCACAGTTCCCTTTACAGACCTGGTAAATTCAAGCGTTGTTGTAAATAATGTCAATATAGATTCTCTCTTCTATTTTTCTCTTTTCACTTTTGATAGGAAGCAGGCTTTATCAAGCCAAATGAGATGTTCACGTTACATACCCAGAAAGTAAAAGCCCGTCTTCTCTTACAGACCTCGGTGCAAACTTGAGGACATTTATAGCTGCTTCTGTTCCACGTAACACATATATTGGGTCCGGGGGACTTCTGCTTGCCATGTTTTTTGCATGTTTTCCACAGCTGTTCTTATCACAGTGTGCGGTAAGGTTGTTCTCTCCCAGGCGTTGCTAACTCCTGCTCAGGCAGATTGGAAATAGTTTTTAGCTAACACCGCTGGCCAAAGTGTTTTTACTGTTGGCGCAAACAAAACACCAACATGGTGGGTAGGGGGTCGGGTAGTATACTGACTTTGTCCAGGTGGGATTTCTGAACTTTTCTTCACTAGAATTTTTCTTTATTTCTTATTTATTTTGTATTTTAAGCAGTGATATTTAATTCTCGTTTTCTCTAAGCCTTGAATTCGATTTAATTTTTGGTCAAGTGTAGAAAAAACGGTCGCAGGTGTGACGCCATGTGCGTTTTACATGCAAACGAAATTGGTTTTGTTTTCTTTTGGCGTCATCGGTAACAGTTAGTTAGTCAATACCGTCAACTTTTTTCATATAAATTGTGACACATCTAGTATAATTTGAAAGCTATCGACCGAAACAAAAGTTTTCCTAAAGCTCAAGGTACAAGCCAAAATTAAATATAAGCTTACAAAAGCTTAGTACGGCGAAAATGCAAGATGATGGGGAAGAGCTATGCGTTTCTGGTTTGGGTGGTTTGCGTCCTTCGTCAGCTTCAACAACTGAAGAATCACTCGAAACAACGACGCTTCAAGATGAAAGAGCGCCTTTGAAAAGGAAGTCCGATGAAGACCTAGGGAGCGACCAAAAACGTCGGCTAGTAACAGAGGAAACTGAAAGCAGTGACAAAGCTATTTGGACGCAGAATGATGAGATGCAAAACACAGAGTCGCATGGAGAAAACGGCAGTGAAGGAAACGAACTTGGCGAGCCTTCGGAACCAGAGCGTCGAGTTATTATAAGTACGTTGTTTCTTTATTCCCTCTCATCATAATTTAAACCTGTTGATATTTATTGTTTTTAAATATAAAATTGAGAGAATCCGTGCGTGGACGCAGAACAAAGACGTACCTGTAGGAAAGGTATCCACTTGTTGGACAAGGTGTTAATAAGTGACTGGGAGGACATCTTAGAGCCATTGTAGACAACTTTATCAAATGGGACTTTGTAGCTCAGGCTAAATGTATTGTGTAAAAATTGTGTACCGCACAGCAAGAAATTATAAGATTATGTTAGGTTAAAACCCTGAAATAATCTTAGTCTTGTTATGCTATTTAAATGTGTAGCAAATACATGTAGTAGGTTTAGATGAATACAGCAAACAATTTGTTGTGGGGATCATCTGTAGATTTGCAATGACCTTTTTGCATGCAGGAGAGCTATACTGTCGAAATTGACCTGTGGTCTGTGACAGCTTAGCTAAGTCTTTCGCCTACATAGGTTTCAGCAAGCCTAGTGGTATATGGCTCCCACTTTTAAAATTACTGAGTTAAATTAGGTAGGTCAGTTACACAGATGTTCAAAAATGTATAATTTTTAAAAGAAGACCATTTAAATTTTTTAGAAACTACACTAAAATTTGCATCAAAGAGATGGCAATGATGTGACCGTGTCAGTCAAGACCACAGGTGTCAGCATAATAATGGTTTCATGTAAGGAAAAAGGAAAAAAATTGTTAACATGCATAACAGAAGTGAAAATTAGTCTTTTGCTAGAAAAATCTAACGATTTAGGATTATAAGATTTTTTACCCGAGTTTAAAGTTTAGCTGAGTTTGTATGGAGCAAGCTGCTGGATATTATCTACATTTTCTGAGAAGGCTAAATTGGTAATTAGCCCAAGCTTGATTTGTACAAATAAAAGGAGGATATATTAAAAACATTTTATAACCATGCAAGATATATGTCAAACTACTGTTGTTAAGTGTTTTGACTTGCAGTGGTCCATAAAATGACAAAATGAAAACAGTCATATTATTATTTTATGTGTTAAGTATTATTCTGTGCAGAAAACNTTAGCTGAGTTTGTATGGAGCAAGCTGCTGGATATTATCTACATTTTCTGAGAAGGCTAAATTGGTAATTCGCCCAAGCTTGATTTGTACAAATAAAAGGAGGATATATTAAAAACATTTTATAACCATGCAAGATATATGTCAAACTACTGTTGTTAAGTGTTTTGACTTGCAGTGGTCCATAAAATGACAAAATGAAAACAGTCATATTATTATTTTATGTGTTAAGTATTATTCTGTGCAGAAAACAGCCACCAATTATCATTAACATGTCTTGTGCAAAAACATTAGCCAGCTTAATTTTAACACCCTGACTGGGTATTGTGAAGTACAGTATTATCCAGCATTATTTGAATGTTATTTTTGTTCTTGGTTTTCATCCTTTTAGTGAAGGGTAATCTGCCAAAGCTGGCTTTACCAGATGGCTGGATAGCGCTAAATCACCGGAGTGGTGGAATCATCTACCTCCATAAACCAACAAGGGTCTGTACTTGGTCCCGTCCCTATCACATTGGAGGTGGAAGTGTTAGGGTAACTTTATTCTTTCTTTTAAATGGTTTAGTTTGAAGTCAAAGTTCTTACCACATGTCCCTTTTGTTTCTCCACTCTTTCAGAAGGCCTGTTTAAGCCAAAGAATTTAGCTAATTGTAAAGGGATGTAGTCAGTTTCCTTCAACATCCTTGAGGGGGGAGGAAGTGGAGTCAGTCACATATTCCACTGCATCAATCATCAGTACTTCTCAATAATTATTACTGCATAATTATTATGCAGCTTTTTTTCTCCATCCCCAACATTTGCATGAATATTAAAAACTCAAATTTATCTTTAACACATCTGTAATCCACAGATCACTGATATTCTATGTTCCTGTAATGCAACTTTGAAGTTAGTAGCTGAACTATTTAGTGGGTCCCAACAATTAACTGTATTGAGGTTCATCCCTGTTTTCAATTCAGCTTTTTCTTCAGCTGAGAATTTTTGTGTGTAATTTAATGCCAGTGAAGTTCAAAACACATGAATAAACATATAACTGGCAGGTGGCAAAAAATTGCAGTTGGGATTGACAAATGGATAAATAGTTCACTTATAAATTTGATCCTCTTGACACCCAATATGTCACACCCTATGTGGACTAAGCTATGAAAGATCATCATGATGAAAATTTGATCTGCACATGGATGTCTAGACATAGCATTCCACTAATGAAGAAATGGATTGAATATAACAAAAACTGTGGTATACTTCAGTCACTTGATCATTGCAGTGCATTTGGAACCAGGGGGGTTACTCCCAAGGTATGTGCAGCCCCAAAGGGTATGTTTTTTTGCCGTTTTAGTCAGAGATAGGGTATTGATTTTAGCCATTTTGGTCTCAAATAGGGTATGGTTTTGCACTCTAGTCTTGAATTGGATATGTTTTATAGAAGAAGTTATCCTACCTTATAAAAGCATGTAAACATTGCCTTTAAGCCTTAAATATTGGTCTGAACTAGGAAACTAATTACAAGGAAGTCTGAAACAGGGTATTGTTTTAAGGGTCAGGTTTTAAATAGGGTAGGGAAAATCACAGATTTTGGTCTTATATAGGGTTAGGGTTTTGGGAAACAGCCTGCACACCCCCACCCAATATTTCTGGGAGTTCCTCTCACCCCCCCCCCCCCCACTGGGGGGGAGGATGCTCAGGAGACAAATACGTACTACATGTAATTTACCCTTAGCATCCCATAATAGCTATTTGAAACAATGGAATTCAAAATGGCAGCCATACTGGTAAAAAGGTCAATTCTGCTTGGCACCCCTCTTTCTTATCCTTGGCAATTACTTTGTGTTGTTCTGGACTCCACCTCATTTCAAGTCCTCAACCTTAGCTGGGACTCCCAGAAATATATACTTGTAGCTATATGAGCCACTTAAAGTATTTCCAGGAAAAATATATTAGGAATTTTCTAGGCTGGAAAAAGGGGCACTAGATCTAATGCAGACAGCATATGTACAGGAGTGGAAGAAATGTATGCTGAATGTGACAAGATTTGTCATTATTAATTAAGTTTATACCCACCTTTCACTTTTCTGCATCTTGCGCTTGCCTTAAAATTGCCACTGGTAGGCCTTTACTGCCTACGGGTAGCATTTTTGGTCACATGCAAGGAGCAAATATGGAGTGAGATGGGTATGCATAGGACTTGTAACCAGTTACAAGGCAGGTTAGAAAAGATAACTGGACCTACACAAAGAAGTCACATTTCTGGCCTCAGTTGTACAAAAAATGGCTAAAGTTATCAACTAGGTAAATCACTATTGAGTGAACAGTGTACTTGGTTCATTTGTCCTACGAATATTGATTTATCTGGTTGGTAGTTTATCAATCCATTGTACAAATATTTGGATGCACATGCAGATGAGATTAATTTGGGTTTTCAGGAGATTGTTACATTTGGTTAATGTAAGGTGCTAGGAAAAACAAAGATTAATGGCAGGAAGTTGGAAGAGTTTTTGTGTGCAGGCATTTGGTAGAAATTGCAGCCTTTAAAGGAGCTCAGTCACGGTTTGCGCATATTGAAAAGTTTAGCCTCAATTTTTTTAATTTGTCGTTTGTAATCCGTGTTAATCTTCTCCGTCCTTAGCCATACTTGTTTCTTTATGGTGTATCATTATCTCTAAAGTGTTTTTCTATCTTATTAAACTGTTATTTTCAGGTTTCCTACCATTTAGAGGTAATTTTGTACGTGGCCAAAATAACTCAAAATAGTGTGACTGAGCCCCTCTAAGCTGAATATACATGTACATATAAAACCATTGACTGAAAGTGGCAATGTGTTGCAAGGATAAATAAGCAAAGTTGAAAATCATAGCTGCTTTTTCACTTTTCCACGTAAGCAGACCTTGTTTATTCTACCTTTGTAATAGTTAGATGGTTGTTTTTGGTTCATTCAAACATACACTGAAATTTAATTCAAGTAAATGTTCACATAACTCCCACACAACACAAGTGTAGGGAATGTGGATAGATGGTAAGTTTTAATGGAGACTTTAGGAGTAAGTTTCCTCTGCATTTTATTTTTCCTCTACAATATACATTGAGGAAAAAGCTAATCAGGAGGTAGGGGAGTTTCCCTTTCTTTACTGGTGCATTACAATGTATTGTCAGTTATTAGGGACCTTGAGATAGCAGTAGATCAACTAAAAGTGGGACTAAAAGTTTAGTCCAGTTACCTTTCTACAAGCCGTACCCGTTGCTGTCACTGATCAGGTGAATTAGGAGAATATCTGCCCAAGATTGATGTAAAATGTGGTAATCAAAACCATTAATACAAGGTTTCAGTCCCATACACTAAGTCCAATCTAAGGTGGCTATTCCATGCTGTTAACTTTCAGAAACATGATGTACCACTGGCTGCCATTCCTTGTCTTCACCAGAAGAGAGCATTATCCATGGAAAAAGAGAAAACTAGCAGTGCAATTTTAGAGGATACCAACTTGCGTTCCAATCTTGTAAACCAGGGAGGTTCAATTTTGAATACACTGAATACTATGAGTGAGGAAAATACTGCAAAAACAATTCCAAATGAGAGTTCCATTACAGAAAACGTCTCTGTTGGAGAGGGACATAAGAGAAGTGGACTGGATGTAATAATGAGCGTAACTGATACAGACAACGTGACAGAGAGAAATGGCGTGACAGAGAGGAATGGCGTGACAGAGAAGACTGATATGACAGCTAGGGATGAGGAAATAGTGCAAAATGGTCTGATGGATCTCGTGACAGCAAGTGGTGATATTACCGACAGATGTGATGTGACTGACCAAAGTAGCATAACACAACACCCACAAGTTGTAGAGAATTATAACTTTTCTGAAAGTAGCGAAAGTTCTGATGAAAGGGCTGCTTCAAAACAAAAGTCTGGTGTTAACGGCAGTAGCAGTACTACATTAGAGTTAGTAGATGCTGGAGATCTAGGCATGTACTTGTCAAGTATTTGGGAATTTCAATCTCTTACCTCAGACCAAGAACGATATGCTGTGATTGCCCAGCCACAAGTTGTTGATGATCTTGAGCTGCCACCATCATTAGAATGCCAGCCACACCCCGTAAAATGTTCAGAAGACAAGAGGCAGACAGGCAAAGATTGTCTGCTGAATGCTGGCGGAAAAACCCCGGTAGCAATTTTACATGAGTACTGTCAGCGTGTGTTGAAGACAAAACCAGCTTACCTGTCCAGCGAATGTGAGAATGCGGACACACCATTTATGGCAGAGGTCCAGATAGGTGAAATCAAATATGGATCAGGAATCGGCTCCAGTAAGAAACTCGCTCGACAAATTGCTGCTGAATCCGCGCTGGAAGTGTTGTTACCTGGGGTTTACACCAAAATACGGGATTATCAGATTTCAGAAGCCGAGCTAGAGGTAGAGTTTAATGAGCATGTGATTCCTCTGTTAAATTTGTTTTTGTTGTTCGCCCTTTTCACGTGTGGGCTTTACACACTTGTTGACTGGGTTGAGATACCACTGAAAACCGTTGATTTCATCGGAAATGATAGAGTAATTCCAAGCATTTTCTTGATAACATTGCAAGATCGGGAAAAATGTTTAGAGGACAGAAGTTCTTCTAAACGAAACAACTGAATAATTAATGTTCCCTGCAAATGCATCTCCACTTCTCGACCCTGTCTTAAACGTGTCTTGGTAATCCTCTGTTTTTTCACTTGTTTCCTATTGTTTATTTATTAATTTCCTTATTCGTGTTTTCAGTTTTTTGACAAAGTAGACATCTTGGACCATAGGCTTCCTGATTTTTGTTCAAAGACAACCCTGCCAAATCCCTCGCAGATCCTTGAGGAGTGTCTAAAGAGGTTAGATTTTCTTGATACATTCCAGAGTGGAGGAACTGAAATGAGTGCTGGATTTTTTATTTGTTTTTCATTCTGTTACTCCTTCCAAACAGTGACAGAATGGCATAAAAGAAAGCTGCATCGATTTTGTTTCTACTTACCTGGAAAAGCACCGGAGTGCTGTGTTTTACAAAGTATATGTGGAAAATATTGGCAGAATAAGTAAATTGTCGCGATACAAGTTGAAGCTTGGTAACCCGCCGTAGCGTATTTGTAGAGTCGACGACTCGATCTTTAGGTTACCATTTAGTTGTCTGACCGTTTTACTTACCTCCTGACGGAGCACAACCATTGCTCTTGTCTGAAGTTAATATTTTTTTAGTCCTGATTTGTGTCTTCGTTGTGCTGCAGAAATCAAGGCATCTGTTCGTCTCCGATCCAGTTCAAGACCGTATGCGGACAGGACAGAAGTCTGTCATTTCAAATCACATGCGGCAAACACTCCGCTACGGTTAGAAGAAGGTCTTGTTGGTTTGTAAAAACACAGGCAGTGAACGGTTCCTCTAGCTTTCCTTGTTTTGACTTTGTTTTATGATTTTTTTTTTAGCTCAATTACCACTAAAGGAAAAACCTAGTTCGATCAACATGTGCAACTATAGCTCGTTTCGAAACGGTTTTTTTATTCCGGTTATAATCCTCCTGGGATTTTACGAAGTTATAAAAGCCCAGGGCTTATAAGCGGCAGTTTACGGTATATGCTATAGTTAGAATATGCGATTTGTAACCTCAGTTTTGTATTTTCATTTTACAGGGTCCTTGTAAAAACAAGCGACTTGGCAAGCAGCTGGCTTCACAACAGATCTTAAAGGTGATTTATTGTGTAAATACTTAACAAACTAAGATGTATAGTGTTGCACGAGCAGAGGGAAAATAGTTAAACTTCCAGCTTTTTTGTCTCGAAAACACCAACTTGTGGGTGAAGTCGAAGCTGAGTTAGTGTTATTAGTTTATCACTGAGAAGCTTATCATTTGCTGAGAATCAAAAATTAACCGTTAGCAAAATGTCCAAAACTTGGTTCATGCAGTGCCTCAGTAGTCAGATATGACTGAAATTTGAAAGGCGAGAAACTGCATATAACCTAAGGGACTCTGGGAATAAATTCAATGTTCCATTGCCGTCCACAAACTATTTCAAAAATAGCTTCAGCTGCAGTGGCGCCATTCTCTGGAACGGACTTCCTTGTGACTTAAGCCGGAAGCAGAGTCTCTTGGACAATAGACCATATTCATATTCTCGGTATCGGACTGGAACTAGCTTGCAAGCGAGGCTAATGCGGAGAGTCTTTTCAAATGCAAATGACTTTGATCTCTTTTTAATGATATTCCCCTGCAAGAGCCTCCATTGCACGCTAGTTCCAGTCCAATACCGGGAATACGAATATGACCTATTCAAACGCCTACTCAAAAGAGAACGGTAAGACAAGGTATTTGTGTAAAGCAGCTTTTTATTAAAATATTTTTCATTACATTAGTTATTGAGTATAAGGTAGAGTTGCCACTAGTCGACCTCATGAGTTTCAGGGTAGAATAGCTAAACTTTTCTGAATGTCTAGGTCCTAAAGCTGACGAATTTTTAACCGTGGTTAAAGATTATCTCTCCGGCTATCTATCTTTATGCTGGGGTGGTCGTGAGTCTGAGTAAGCACAAGTTCATTCGCGTTTGGATCTTTACTGTTTGTTGGACCTCGATTTTATATCACATTGCTCAATTTGTCGTGATCACGTGAATGTCGAATTGAGAGCTTCACAACTGAAAAAATGCCCTTCCGCAAGTTGTCGGCATTGCAAGTTGAAAAGCGTTATGGTGATTCTCACCACACTCGTGTTGCAAGGTGATGCATCATCATGTGCGAAGAGTTCAACTTTGGACAACTTGCAACAACACGCAGGGGCTAATACAATACACGCATCGTCAACTTCTTTGTTGAACTTTGTACCATGAACACTCTTGCTGCCCTAGCCGTCCTTGTAATACTGTTGTGTCTTTTGTAGAAACTCCATCCTCATCTTGAAAAGTGGGGAGCACTGATGCGAATCTATTGTGACAGACCTTCAGGCTCTATTAAAAAGGTAATTACTCTTGTAAGGTCACTGTATTTCGTTCACGTGCAGCTCGGTTGTAGCTCAACACAGAGGGAAAGTTGGTCACGACTCAGTCCGTAATTATTTATTTATTTTTTCTAATGCGCTGCCTAAATTTCTGTCAGAATTTACTTTCGTTTAGACTACTATGTTTAATTTTGACACCACCGCAGGACCTCATTATACTAATCCCGTAGGAAATAATGCTGTGATCTGAAGTGTGTTGCACCAGAAAAGTTAGACTGAACCGCTCCGTAAAAACACCTGCGTTTTAGTCAATGGGGGGCGAAACGAAGAGACCCTGGAAGCGAATTACCTCCCAGTCAGTAATTAACGCGCGCATTTGCAATAGGTTCACCAAAATCTTGTCACCATTCTCCTCTGTCCCTCGCGCTCATTTGATTTCTAATCTATTTTGTCTGTTTCGTTTTGTTTTGTGGTAGTACAAGCAAGTTGACAGTACATCTCACAGCGAGCGAGAAGATGGGTCTGATATGAACCAGGATATCGACTTGTTGGAGCGTCTCAAAATCGAAATGAGAAAACTTCATTCTGAGGTTTGCATTGTAAAATGTTTGTTAACTTTAACCGCATACTCAAACACAGGTTTTCGGTTTTAGTTCTCGTTAATGTTTATTGGTTTGTTTTCATTTGCAGGTTAAGAATACCAAAACTATGAAAACCAGAAACCACTCGGCAGAGCCAGTCTTTACTGTGGACATGTAAACTTAATTGAATGTCACATAGCCATTGTCAACGATTACTGTGATCACAAACAAAGTTTGTGACAAAGCTATGAAATAGCTGCTGTCATAAATATAAAATTAGTTTTCTCAAAAACGCAATTGTCGTACCATAACATTTATAATAGCAAAGCTACTTGTACGGAATACTATCAGTAAAATTTTTAAATATAATTTTATAATAATAAACAAATGCAAGACCAGTAAGCTCTGGGCGTTCATAGTGTTGTTTGCACCCTTTTCACCCGTTTTATGAGAGTTCAGATGTAATGTTCGTCTTGATTTATTCGGTACGTTTCCCAGTTGCCAGTAGGTTTGTGTGGTAACATAATAGCCTTACATTTCAAACAAAAAAATACTCAGAAAAATCCCAATGGAAATCTGTTCCAAGAAACAGACGAGTCGTGAGGACACGCCTATGAATGAAACAATATGATATGCATATAGTTATAACGAGAATCCGGAGTTTACATTTGCGTTGGCGTCCGAAAATAAACACTTCTTCTCGTAGGTCAAGCAGAAACCCCATCTGAGACTGGCGTCACTACTAGATTACTCTCTGTTTGTCGCTCCCCTCGTAAAAAACACAACGAGGAGAAGAAAGCACCCTGGGAAGGAGGTTTCCTTGCTCACTAGGGAGAGCTGACGTCACAATCTTCAGCCGGAGTGTTAGCGCCATTTCTGATTGGACGCTTGACCCAGGACCTTTTACCACTGCTCAGTCAAACGTCCCTTAAACCCAAGAATATGGCATCTCACGGGGCGACAATGCAGTGGCGTAGGAGGCTCGCATGCAGTTGACGTTTTTCTGGCAATAATCCACAATCACCAACTGTGTCCATAGAACAGTCGATTCAAATCAGACACCATTTTACATATATTGTACATTCAAAAGGTAGTTGCATCATTCCCCTGATCGTTGTTCGCTTCAGTTGTGCCTGAGAATCCTATTCTGTAAGGTGTCTCGTTGACTTTCTTGCCAGAGTTGTCTACAGCGCGCACCCTGTTTCTATAGCAACAGAGCATGTTCCGTATACCCCTCCTGAACCCATCCATGTACCAAGTGTACAAAAGTGGGTCAGCGGTTGCGTTAAGAAGTATTAACAAAACAGTGATGATATAAGTTGTTGAGCCGTAATGAAATCCAGGAGAGAAAAATATCAGTAAATACAGCACATAGTTAGGAGACCAACACAAAGTATGTACTAATGTTACAATAATCAGCATGACGGTAACACGTTTGCGTGATTTGAGTCGAGCAAGCTGAACTGAACTTGTTATGGCATCTTCATTGCGCCACAGTTTATAAATGATTTTTAAATACAACAGTGACATAGTGATTATAGGAACCAAGCAATTTACCGCGAAAACAAACGCAACGTGGATTTGTTCAGGATACCATTTGGCCCAGTCTTCCACACAGAAGTCTTTTCCTGGGACGTAAACCATGGCAGACATACTTGGCCCTGACAACAGACATGCGAAACCCCAAGATAACGCCATTATACAAAGAACGCGTTTGGTATTTAACCGGAAGTTAGTTCTGAAAGGATGCACGATAGCAAAATAACGTGCAGTAGCAATGGCGATCAGTAAGATCCCGGATGAAGCCGCACTCAACCAGATGAAGACGCCACCGGTGATGAACTTGCAAAGAAAGTTCCCGGATGTACCTATGGTGACAAATAGATACCTAAGTTACGCGACTGGGCTTTAGTTTTAAAAAAGAGTAAAATTTGTGTAAAAAAGTTTATGCGCCCGGTATGGGACTTGAACCCATGACCCTCAGATTAAAAGTCTGATGCTCTACCGAATGAGCTAACAGGGCTCAAATGGGGCTGCCAAGGATAATTTTTTATTATATAGTTTTGTTTTCAATCCACTGACTACCAAGTACATACACTGTAGCCTGAGTAAAGGGACAAGGTTCTCTCTTGGCACAGTAAATTTGAGACACTGCCATGCTGCAGTTATTTCTATACGTCATCAGAATGGTATTTATCCTCGCTAATCTAACTCGTGTTGTTACGTATAACATCTTTCCCTGACAAAATTCCACGCGAATTTCTCGGATGTACAAGACGACAGAAGAAATTTATAGGCTTGTGGATATGATTTTCCTTACTTGAAATCTTTGCCGTTCAGACAATGTTGTCACTCTTAACTTATCTGCTGTACTACAAAATAGACAACTGCTTTGGCTTTTTTCTGTCCGGCGTTTGCCCAGGTCTTGACTGTGAATCAATTTCGGTGAGAATCAGCCGTGACGGAATAGAGGCCTAGGAACTAAACAAGCATCATGCACTAACCTGTCGGGTGATCAAAGGCGTGGTTAAACACGTGTCTAGGCAACATAAATAGACCAATCACAATGTCCGCTGCAGCAAGGTTCACCAGAAGATAGTTCATGGGTCTCCTCATCTGCTTACTGCGATAAACAACCAGGCAAACCAATACATTGCCAATGATGTCAATCACAATCAGGAATGAAAACAGCACGGACAGCAGGATGTCGGCGATGGAAACTGAACCCATTCTACAGACCACAAATTAAACATTTTAAACGTGGCATTATCGGGTTCTTACTTAGTGGAAGTAAAGGGTAGGGTACTTTTGCGGCAAGATCTTGTTTAGTTTACGATAACGGGTATATATTTAAAGACCTCGCCTAATCGCCTTCATTGTGATTTCAATCCCTGCAGCACACCGTGAGGAACAGACATTTGAGATGTTCTTGTTACATTCTTTTTCTTTTTCGGAACCTGGGGTTTTGAGAAGCCCTGCTCAAACTGAAACCATCGTCACGGTTTTAAAATACAAGATCAGCTGCAACATGCAGCAGAAAGTAACATTTCGAGTTAAACTACTTTTCTCAGTTCACATATGTTTATTACATTTGAACCACCACTATAACCCTCCTGACTAAGGAACTGTACTGCACATCTGAAAGCATTAATTTTATTTTTGGAATTAAGCCGACTAAGCCACAAAATAGAAAAGGTGCAATCAACTCTGATGTTTACACAGGAGCTAAGCTGAGGATACCTGCAGCACTGCAAATACCCTGAAGTAAACAAAACTTCCCGGATAAAATGTAAGAAAGCCTGTATATAATATTGTTTCTGTTTTGACTTAGAACCCCATTGAATGAAATAAAGCAAGGCCCATTTACTTGTCTTAGCGAAACCAAAAACCAAACGAAATTACCAAAAGATTGTACATGGAGTGACATCGCTAAAAACGAGGTAATTAAAACAGCCGATGACAGACAACGAAAAAAAAACCGTGTGACTTCAGTTCTAAAGAGTAAGCTGCAAAATCTTCATTAACTTCGAGACGTATTGAATAACACTAGAAATGGAAATTTTCGGTTCCTTACAGATCTACCAAATTCTTAGTTTTAAAATCCTCGAATACGCTTTTACCCAGTAAAACGTGAAAGGTCATTTAAGCTCTGTAAAGCACATTTGTGATGGTAAATTTAATTGCTCACCTTCATCAGATCGACAGTAGAAATGGATCTGGCTCAATTGCTTCCAATTTTTCGACAAGAACTTTGCTTTAGTCTTTCGTGAGTCAGTTGGCTCACAGAGGTTCCCGTCACTAATGGTAATTGCTAAGGTTTAATGCGACAAACTTTGAGCAAATACGAAATTATTTGGGAGTTAGTTGGTTCTTGAATTTCCTGCAATGTGATTGGTTAACAGGTTGTAATTGCGACACCTACGTCGATGTTTGGTCATCGGACATCGTGATACGTTTGACGTTGATTCAATTAAAATTTAGGAAATAACAATTGAAACTGAAACCAACCTATTTACAGCAATTATCTAGAAAATACAAAACTCAATTTTTTTTATCTTTTGCTGGTAATTCAATCCACTTTAGAAGAAATACGGAAAAAACCTACAAGGATAAAAGAGGTGTTTGTCCCGGTGTCAACATTTGACGGAAGTTAAAAATTTAATTACTGCTGGCTTACGATATTCATGAATTTTACATTTCCGCCGGTAAAAAGAAGCTGTTTGATCAAAGCCTTGAAACAGCCGTTAAATGTTGTTTTTACGTCTTCTACAACAAAACGTTTCCAGGCTTTTCTTTCGTTAAGTTTGTCTTATACTTTAGCTTATGACGACAATGTACTGTGGATGTAAATAAAAATAAACAAACGTTTGTTAATTGGTTATGATCTCCACACCTGAATCTGGGAGCCTCGATTTGAGGTTGTACTTGTCTTATGAAAAAACTTCTAGGATTTGATGCATGATGGGAAGGTGTCAAGGCTATTCTGCATCCTTCCCATCATCCCTCGCGTCTTAATATTTTTTAACAAGGGACTACTGGGGACAAGTCAGATTAACGCGCGCGCGGTGTGTGCGTGGAAAAGGACAACAATTAGAAAAGTGATTCAGTTGATTTGGATATATTTTATGCCGACGGCTTTGCAGTCATTTTTTATTTAAGAAATTCACCAATAAGCATTTCAGCAATTTATACCGAATGAATTGAACAAACAAAACGAAGAAATCTCTATAAACACAATTATTACCGCTGAGCGTATTTGAATATTATTTCTGACAATGGCTTTGCAGTCGTTTAATCGGCTGGAGCTGTACCAGTCATTTTAAAATTCGAATCCAACTTCGGAGCAATGCTGTACATTACCATTTTGTTTTCTTAAGTCCTAAGAGCTGCATTTATTCGGCGATCTGTATTCAAAGCACAGCTGAAAGTGCATTGATCGTCGTGTCTTTGGCGCCATCGAAGGAGAGAAAAATTCTCCAGCTATTCATGCAGAGGAGTCCTATTTGATCTTATTTCCAGTTAAATTCACCGTGCAATTGTAGCATAAATCGTTCTGTAGTTGATTCAAATCACTGAACGTGATCAAACTGTTTCAACAATTGCAAGCACGTAACACGACCGCATTTACACAGTTTGATCACGTACGGACGATTCGCGCTACAATTGCGCTGTAATTGCTTCTTGTGGTCGGTGCCGAGTGTCAAATAAGAAGTCCCCTTCGCTTTCCTTACCATTGCTCCCACCCCCGTCTCCCCAAACACTATCAAACCCTGAAATTGCGAATGATCTCTACTAACCACTATAAACTCGTATTCACGAGTTTAAAACCTGTGACCGAGGTCTTTAAAATGCTACCCTCGACCTGCGACCTCGGGTCACAGTTTTTCCCTGTATTGGCCTCCCAACCCGCAAATAACATATCTTTATTATGTCAAGCAGCACTCTGTATTGCTGCCAATCTTGCGGCTACTTTTTGTTTATATAAGCTTAAATTTTCAAGTGGTTCATTAGCGGTGAACAAAATCTGCAGTAATTCTACAAACCATAACTCCGCAGGTGAAAGTTAAGAATACTCCACAACTATTTTTTTTTTGTCCCATGCTCGCTCTCGACAACTGAACACAGACTGAAGCTTATAATTTGCCATTATATTACCAAGACGCGTGTCGTCCACTCCCTGACCCTACGAACGTCTGCACGTTTTGAACCCAAAAGAGAGCTTGAGGCCAATATCAGTTCAGCCATCTTGACCGAACAAGCTCGGGTCAATAAAGGATTTATTATATGGCTTTCGGGGAAATCTTCCTTCCGAGACACGGCGGGTAGTCCCGAGCGGGTAAGATAGCTCCATCTTGCCCGCTCGGGCAGCGCAGGATTTGGTTCATCTTGCCCGCTCACGGAGGTAGCCGTATAATAAATAGACTTATCATGGTGAGGTTACGATAAATTATCTGTAACTGCGCACGCGACGAATCGCTGACGTAAAACTCAAAGATAAGCGCTGGGAAGCACGTGTGATATTAGTTCCATGCAGCAACAAGCCTTCAATGGCCAATCTTCTTGACAGAGACGTTTTCACTTTCTTTTCAAAATTATGTTGCGAGGGTTTTAAGCCACTTCAAATTTATGAAGAAGACTTCTTGAAACCCTTTCGGTAGGCACAGGATTTTTGAAAATTTTGGATTTTTTTTGCAAAAAGCAAAAATTATCTAAAACGAAAACTTTTACCGAGTGTCCTAATAATGTTAACACAATACAACGTTTATTTGTACTGAAGAATTTACAAAATTAATATAATATCTAAATTAAAAATACATACAGAAGCTGGTCACCTAAACAGTGACTATATAGAGCTAAACTAATTGGGCATTTGACAAATGCTTTACAGCCTTTTTCATCATTAAAAGTTCTTCTCCAAAGGTTTAAAAACTATAGAGTATTGTCAACCGCCTTGAAACTTGAATGAAAAGATTTCCAGTTTGAAACGTGACTCTGCACACGGCAGAATCCACCAGCAATGCTGGGTGTCGATCGAGTGGTTGTCAGTAAATGTCATTTATCCCGAAATTATCTTGACTCACAGTACATGATCATCTTATAGACTCATCTTCAACTTGTTAGCATTGCAACAGTTTTATTGATAAAAAGACTACATTTAATAAAACACTTCGAACTACTTGCTTTTAGGCAAACGGGGTGTCCTGTTCATGTTAGATAGACCACGATAACTAGTTAGTCGTGATAAAAACTCTACCGGATTTTCTCTGTTGCTCTTTTCAACGCATGACTTCGCAAACCGTGAGTATACAATTTTAACCCTTTTCTATTTTAGAAAGATGCTTACTAATTTACGCGCGTACTATATTTAGCGAAAACTCCGGAGCTGCATTTCGCGTGAATCAATTTTTGCAATTCAGCCAAAAAAACTGTCGGAAGTAGATTTAATTTTGCCATTGCTTTAATCCCCCAAATCAAAATCCCAGGGCCCCTGTGCTAAAGAAATTTTGGTAGATTCACAAGCTGCAGAGTAACAGTGAAATGAAGGAAGAGTGCTCAACATCATTAACTTTTTACGTGTAAATGTTCGCTGAGCTTGAGGCAAACAATCGTCAAGATCAAGGCGGACGAAAACATGGAAACACAGTCGCAATAGCTCATGCAGCCGTAGTTTTAATAATACATCGATTGTACATCAATTTACTCATCGGTTTAGGCCTGTTGACTTCAATTCAATTCAATTCAATTCAATGTTATTTTATTTTATTTTATTTCATTTTATTTTCTTACATAGTTACAAGACTTGCTTGCCACTGCAACTAGTTCCAGAACTAATCGAGGCGGAGGCAAAAGTTTATAATAAAAAAGAAAAAAAGAAAAGATAGTAATGATAATTAACTGTACAACAAAATTACCAAAGGTACAAGTAAACAATAGAAACAACTACGAATAATCGTCATCTAAAATTGAGTAGCTCCAGTCTGAAAAAAACCTAAATTTCGGTAACTTAACAAGTTTTTTGATGGTTGACGATTTACGAATCGAAATCACTGCGTTTACAATTCATACCAGCTCTTAAAATGTTTTGGTCCAAAGGAGATGGGAGTCATTGCTTTAATTCCCCATGCATCAACTTTCAACTGTCCGTCATGTTTACTTGCCTAGATAGCAAACGTGGCTTAGCTTAGTAACAATACTTCAAACGAATATTTATTTCAGGATGACTGATTCAATGTTTTAAATTTTGCAATCTGTGATGATCAACAGTTTATCAGTTCTTATGACAGGCATGCAAAAAAGACACGAAATCCATACGACTTTGAATTTGATTGGCTAAGAGACTTGATATAAAAGCATTTTATATGGTTGATCGGCCATAAAGCAATGCTTTCATCAATGGTCGAGTTTTTCCCGTCTGTTCATTAGTACGAAATACCTGTTTGATTTCCAAGATATCATCCCGGCGTTACCTTTCCATGAATAGAAGTTTTTACCTGAAATTGGACATACACTGACTTTTCCTCCTATTTCAGTTAAAATCTCACTTTATTGTTCTTTATTATTCATTGATTTTTTTATTGTCTGATAGTTCATTTACCGATAGTACTGCTATATGAAGGTACCATTAGCGAGGGCAATATATTTTTAATCAGATTTTTAACGTCTCCGTACGTTTTGTTATTTTTGCTTTAAGAGAAATCCAACATGGACGTCTCCGAGAAATCCCCTGTGGAGACACATGCCCTCCGCTTGGCGGAATCCTTGCGTTCTCGAAGTACAGTTCAAGTTGTTCTGGAATCCATGTTCTACGGTTCCATTTGCACGTCTACATTTTTCGGCAACCTCCTTATTCTCTACATTATTTACAAGCCGCCGAGACTTCGAAACGTACCAGGGTTGTTTATAGCTTCGCTCGCTTTTTCAGACACCGCAACAATCGCCCTCGCTACTCCGCCATCTTTTGCATCACTCATCGCAGGTCGCTGGACTTGTGGCTTCATTGCATGTCAGCTTCAAGGCTTTGTTGTCATAGCATCAGTAGCTGCCTCGCTGCAGATCATGGCCCTTATGTCTATCGATCGATATTTCCGCGTTGTTCAACCGATGAAGCATCGAATTTTCTTCACCATGCCACGCGCACGGTTGATGACCGCGTCGGTCTGGATCTTATCTCTAATGTACCCAGTCCCTTATCGTGCCAGTGATAGAAAACACATCTTCCACCCCGGAAAGTTTTTCTGTTTCCACGAAGCGGACTCATCCTTTACAGCCGACGTTATTTACATCTGCATTTTTATTTCCCTTGCTGTTCTGTCATTTTGTTATTTTAAAGTTTTCAGACATCTGAGGCTGGACACAAGACGCGTTAAAAACCTACGAGGAGCATCTGTCGCTACAGATGACAACACACGTCATATATCACAAGAAGAGATAAGACTTACGGGATCTTTATTTGTCACTGTGCTTGCATATCTGATTTGTTGGACTCCTGTTCTTATTGTCGACTTTGTAGAAACGGGTGTTGGTGATTGGTCCCTTTCCCATGGGGTCTATGTCATGTACACCACTATTGGAACCACAAGCTCCTCTCTGAACCCCATTATGGAGTCCTTAATCAAACATTTCGTCGAGAATACAGGAGGATTTTTTGCTTCAAGCACTGATTAACTGATATGTAATGCGAACAAAAAAAAAACAAATATCATGAAGCGGCACTTCGGAGACAGGGGGGAGGTTCAAGTGATATTATTACTGCGGACAGACGGTAATACAGTGTTCATATGCTGTGTGGACAGTGTGACCGAGTGATTAATTAGGCCAGTACTAGATTCCGTCTTTCTACTAACCTAATTAACTCTCCGTTATCTTAAGTTCAAGTTCTTAGCCGTGCTCTATAAATTTCCAACTAACCAGCCTCTCAAATTATTGCCCTTGCAAACACCCCTCTGTACCTGGTTTTTAACGGACCAGATTGATCCAATTTGTCACCTGGGGCCTGTTTCTCGAAAGCCCCGGAAACTTTTCGGGCTCGAAAAGCCATTTTCAGTTAATCGGTATTTAAAGACAGAGAGTTATGTACGTCTGAAACTTCTGGTACGGAATGGAACCTCTGTTCATATTAAGAATATGTGAATAAAACAGCTCTGTAACCATAAGGTTTGAGATTTTGCCATGGCTTTCCGGGTGCGAAAACTTTTCGGGACCTTCGAGAAACGGGTCCCTGGGCAGTACTAGGGAAGCCAATGATTTAATATACAAATAAAACTTATACAGTTC